CATTCCGGCTGCAAGGAATCTAACACCAGCTCACTTTCTTGTTAGGGAAGTATTCACTCAGCAGATGCTCCTACAACTTAGCCTCTGACAGCAAACTAAGCAATATGAAGCAAAACTGCCTGTTTTACAACTAAACAATTTTCAGTGAAACTGTCTAAATTGCAGAAGGTTGCCACAAACCGCAGTCCTTACTGCAGCTCTAAAGCATTTAAGTGCACAATTCAAATATATTTCTTGCTGTGAAACAGAACCATTTATTTCAGAAATTATATATATACACACTTCAATAATACTGGTGAATATTTATGAAAATCCTCCATGCACTTTCCATTTTAGTAACTCAAAGAATTTAAGTTTAAACAGTTAAAAACTAAAAGTAATTTTCCTTGAATGTAAATCTATATTAAGAGTTGGGATATAGACACAAGCCTAATTTCAGGTAATGAAATCTATATTAAGAGTTGGGATATAAACACAAGCCTAATTTCAGGTAATCTGTATTTAAAAGGTGTCTTTAATTCCATCACAAGCCACCAGGAATCAAGTTAGCCAACAGACAATCCCATCTTGAAGGAGAAAGGACAGTAAAGTAAGGAAATTCTAGGTTTATGAAACATTTAATAACAAAGCAAAGCAACAGTATGTGGAGCTCATTAAAAAAGCACTGCTAACTACTAAGAACACAGAGCCACACATCTTAACAGCTTAAATAATTTGCATTGGTGCTACAAACAGTGTTAGTAAACTAGCTAGTCTTTAAAGGGAATATTTGACATTTTTGCTCCATTTTTTCCCAATAGAGGTGTCAAATTAACATTTTTCACTCAAGCATTTATGGGCTTGGAGGGGGCAGAGGGGTGGTGTTGTGTGTGTTTGATTCATTACAAATAGTAGAAAGCAACAGCTTAAATAATTTGCATTGGTGCTACAAACAGTGTTAGTAAACTAGCTAGTCTTTAAAGGGAATATTTGACATTTTTGCTCCATTTTTTCCCAATAGAGGTGTCAAATTAACATTTTTCACTCAAGCATTTATGGGCTTGGAGGGGGCAGAGGGGTGGTGTTGTGTGTGTTTGATTCATTACAAATAGTAGAATGCACTACTACAGAGGGAAAAAAAAAAAAAAAGAAAAAGCTTGTGTAATTCTTGGCTCAAGCCAAGCCTCTACTTTTAAAATAAATCAATTGACCTGTGACGACCAAAGAGAATCACAGTGAGACACAGATACTATTTCAGACTCTGCATTATCTAACGGAGTTAGCCATCCTTTACATTGGATAGAGTCCACTGGCTAGAGAGGAGTATCCAGAGCTTCCAGTGACCAGGTCTGATGCCTATACCCCTGCTACTCCTTAGTCTCTCCACCAGCACCTCCTCCTACACCACAACCCTCCTAAGTTTAGAGTGTCTTGCAGAACAGTTCCAGGTCAGATTAGCTTACTGACACTCTATAGGACTCCTACCTGCAGCGCAGTGTTCTACTACAGGTATTTGCAATGATATTTCCCACTGTTTACCAGCAACAATAAGCAACTAGTTTGGGCTCTCCTTCCCTCGTGCAAAACCATATTTTTACATAACTCTAAGCAGGCTTTCTATGCCTAAACCTCAGTGTAATCTTGAAGACAGGCAAAAGCCCCACATTCCAGTAAAACTAGCCCATTCCACACTACACGTTGCCTGGTAGAACAATCTCTATGACACCATGTGACACACTGCATCCAAAATAGATGCTATTACTTTCTTAATTCTAATGCTTTTGATGATATAGCACAGATCTTCAAACATGTACCCTACTGCTCCTTGAAAATCCTCCAACAAACTCAAACTTGTCCCATCACATTAACCCTCCAGCACATCAGTTTGCTCCCCATTTCATTGGGAGTATCTCCTATCAGGAAGGGAGAATGTGAGCAAGTTGTTCATACTCTGGCTGCATGGACCAACTAACACATACTTCTTGTTGTAACAGCTTTTGGCATAGGGTAAGGACACGAGTGGTGTCAACTCTGGTCACACAGCATTATTTCCATTGCTGAATTCACTCAATGCCTTCATCAGCTACTTAAAAGCCTGCTTTGCCTTGGTATAAAAATTTCTAACCTCCTCAGCTAGCCAAGTGATTTATATTTAATTTTAACCTGATACATGGCATGGCTCAAGGCTCTGTCCTAGCCCAATTGTGACTGAAATAAACATAACACCTCTGAGTTATCTGTAGCAGTTGTCCCCATTTTTATGGAGATGACACAGATCTGTCAGCTTTAAGAAACAGAAAAAAAAGATTCTGCATTTGTGTTAACATACTCAGTCAGATGAAAGGACTTGGGTGTGTGAAGAGTGAAACTTGGTGAAGACTAGAAATTAAGCATTTTACCTTCTTGACACTAGAGATTAGAACAACAGCACTGTAAAATATTCTGAAATCCCACTACCTTTTTTTAATATACTCTACTGTCTTACTTGAAGGTGATCCAACAGACTGTCTGAAATCAAAGATATAAAAAAAAAAAAAGTTGCCTCAACAAAACTACTCTCCAGTGCTACTGCTGCCATTGGCTTTGAATAAGTTTTTTGGTGCTGTGATTGACACCTGTTACAGGTTCAGCTTTTTCTGATCAACTAAATCAATTACACACTTTTCTTAACCTACATAAATAAAAGGTAAAAGACAAAATTTCCTTTTAAGGATTTCATCCCTACCCCTGTCCTTTCGTTAAAGAAATAATTCTCCTCATTCTCTGTCACAGGACACCTGGGAGGCAGCAGTTGGACGCATCAGCTGCACTGAAGGAACAGAACCTATGGAGAGCGTGGAGACCACTGGGACAAGCAGCTGGAACTTGAATATAGAAGTGACTGAAAAACACCTCTGTATAACCCACTTCGTTCACTTTCCTGCCTTGGGCATCACTGCTTCACCTTCTAGCCCTCAGGATCACCAAGACTCCTGATCTTTGAAGAAGAGCTCTAAGTCAGCACTGATTGCCACAGGCCCTGATGCTTGTCCAAGGAAAAGCTGAGGGCACTTTCCCTCTCCCTCTTCTTATTTGCAAGAACGGTAGGGGAGTGGGAACCAGCAAACACCAGGACAAATGAGGAAGACCAGGCCAGGCCTCTTGGACACAACTACACACATTAAAGAGAAAAATCAACCTGACTATCTTCTCAGCTGCATCTGGGGTTTGTCATAGTGCCTGCCATTCTGTCCTCAACAAACCTCTAGACCCTCACATCAGCCAGACTGTCTCAACTATGTCCAAGCAATCCCAGATTTTATGACAAGAATCTGAAGATTATTCACCACTGCTAACAATACTGTTTACTGCTCTGACTTACAGTAGATACGTGATGTGTTACTTCAAATCGAACAGCACTGCTCAGAACAAAACCAGCTGACATTGTTAAATAAGTTCTGGTTGTCTTATGGTCAGTCTCATCTGTGTTTTCTTTCACCAGTTGATTGCATTGTCTCTTCCCAATATTACCAGCATCGTGTTTCATTGTAATTTTTCATACAGCATGAGCTGACAGCATTCAGCACTCCAGCAGGAAAATCCTTCACCTGACTATCAGAACGGAGGCCTGAGCCCCAACCCTACACTGGCAGTGCACAGGGTGAATTAACAGACTGCTGGTCTCCTGCGACAGCCAAAAATGAAGCTCCTTTACCTAGCAACTCCTCTCTCGATACAGCGAGGGGAGCTAGCGCTGCAGGAACTTCTCAGAGGAAGAACTGAGAACTCTTCTTTATCAGTCTGTAAATATTAACATCAAAACTATGAGTTCACTCTAGATGCTCATGGTATGAGCATTTCCTATCAATGTCTACTCTTGGAGCAGAGAGCTTGGTCAAAGGATGGCCAATCCTCACATTGTTATGCCAGATATCAGCCTAGAAACACATTTTTAAAATTTGAGGCAGCATTAATTGGTATCACTAATTTGTGTTAGGTCTACCTCTCTTCCTCCCCTTTGAGCGAATTATTCAGTACCTATTACAGTTTTCTTTGCCTTTTTTCTCACTTTTATAGATTACCTTTTTTAAAACTTTAGAAATCAGAGTTCTCATTCCTGAATTCAATTTAACTTTTTTCCTACCCTTAAAAAAGGTTTCTCATTTGCTTGAATTATAAAACTCATTATGAAAACTACTAAGTTTCCACAATAGGTTTGTAGCCTCTCTCAACACAATTTAGATATTACTCATTCACTACATAGGAAATAAACATTTTATCATAGTGGACTACACAGTAAAACAACTTTTATTTGATGGTTTCTCTTTTTTTGATAATTGGCAAGACCCAACAACTGAATGCAGCAGAATGCATAGGAGAAAACACAAAGTCGTTAGCAAGATGTAGTATAAATTATGGTTGAAGATTATTATCCCTTTTAAAGAATAATTTGGTATGTTCTTCTGTTCCACTGCAAAAAGCTGGGTCAGACTCATCATGAGCCTTAACAGACTTTTCAGCAGTTGTCAAAGCTACTCCATCCAAGACATCATTTTTAGCCAGAGGCATTCAGCTATTCCTAGATGTTATTTGAATATACATGACTGGAGGGCTTTCTATGAGACTGTCTAAAGTAATTTGGTTTGTAACTGCACCCTCCCCCCCTCACAATTTTAACACACATACAAGAATACCGTGAGTGTTATTACTGAGCATGTTCACACTTACACTAAATGCTATAGCAGTGAAGATTCTTGATGTTACAGTATTAGCTCAGCTAATGTCCTATTTCCTGAAACCTCATGACAATTTTCAGTTCTAATGAAGTTCAGATTATCAAGAATAATCCAAGAGAAGTATTCCCTTCTTTTTCCGGTTTAACAGTATTACATGACTATGCTATTCCATCATTTTATTTCACAACAGATTTTGGAAGGCAATATTTGAACTAAATACAATGAGGAAAAACTGACCAGGAGTAAGGGGTTTTTTTTCTTAGTAACTTAATTTTCATTTAAGCAAGAGTTACAATGCTGAAGTCTTTCTACAGTTTTCTCTCACCAATGATGTGAGTTTTCAATATAGATTGTTGTTCTTCAAAGCATTTATGTGGCCTATATTGTCTTTCCAATTATTTGTTACTAAGTGACGCTGGTTCCAAAAGTGCTAGGATTTGAGACTTCAATCACCCTTCAATTATTCAGAAGTGTAACATCTCTGCTGTCTGTCTTCAGAAACATAGCTACATAAACTAGCTATTCCACAGCATTTAAAGACAAGGATTTCTGGAAATACATAGGCCCTTGGACCATGAATCCAAGATTCAATTGCTTATTTACTTCTGTCAACCTTCTATTTGCTGCCACATAAGATTTACTAGTTTAAAGGAGGAATTAAACAGTAGATTCTGCCTAAATGGCTCATAAAATATAATTTTACAAGGAAAATTTGTAACAGCAAAATGTGAAGATTTTTTATAAATGAGAACTAATGCATATCAGATCAAGCACCAAAATAGAGGCTACAGTTCATCCTGTGGGTGGCTATCTGTTCAACAGAGCTCAGATGTTTGTTTAGAACCACTATAATATGCACTACCACACAAATATTAGACCCCATCCCGTTATGCTAATATGCCTCAGGTAACAGTTCTGGATAACTTTTGTGACTTAATGTAGTTGCATTAAGGCCAATTTAATATTTAGTTCAAACCCAACCTATTATAGTGCAAAGCAACATCTTCATAGTCAAAACTTTCTGCATTGCAGAAGTCACAGAATCAAGTCCCCAGGACATTATTCCCCCAAATTAACTTCAGTTATTCATACTGAACTAACAACTGCTGCTGGTGAAACCTGGTCTAGCAGATTTTCAGACTTCTAATTAATCTAAGAGTTAATCAATAGCTAAGTAGCTTTTAAAACCAATACTTAGAGATTACATTGGTTTACGTATCTTGAAAAATTTAAGTTATCTAACACATCAGACCAACATCAGAATTTACTAAGGTAACTCAACTCTCCAATAACTCAAATACAAATTCTTTTACTGACGTAACAAAACAGTCTCGTATGCAGCTTCATTTGTAAATGTCAATGTAAATATTTTCTCACAAGTATTACGAAAGCACTACCCAGTAAGGCTTCTTCCTAAGTGGAAGTGACTTAGGGCACTGATTAAACAATAATTGAGAAACATTCTCTTCCATATACTTATGCATACAATTCTGTGAAGCTTTTTTCTTTAATTTCTGTGAAGCTTACTGTGTACCGTTGAACAAACATCCTAACAGCAGGAAAGATGTATACAGCTACATCATTGTGACAAATATCCTACAGTTATTCAAGGCAAAAATGAGAATGAAGCAGTATAGGTACATCCTCACTTTCTTACAAATTCCTATTTTCATTACAAAATTAGTAAATACCAGAATACACTTCTGGTGAAACTGCGTCATCCTCTAAGATACAAGTTTCTGCAGAGTTCTGTGGTTTTTCAACACCTGTCTTTGTATGACAGGTGTTATAGAACCACGTAACCACCAAATTTAGAAATTCACTGCAGAAAAATAATGCATTTTAGAGGGCACTAAAATAGACTACAGTTTCTCAGGAACATTTTGGTTTTGGGTTGGTTTTTTTTTTCCTATAGAGGCTTGCTTTATCACAGAAAAATCACAGATATTATCCTGTAGCTTTGCATTAAAAACCTAGCTCAGCAAATATACGAGATCTTCATTGACATCCCAGTAGTTACATTACATCCATTTTTCATGCCCTTGAGTGCATTTTTTTCTCTTCACAATCAGAAATTCCACAAAAGTACAAGAAGTAACCAGGTGCAATATATAAGTCCTCTTGTTGTGAATAACTCCCATTAAAGGTCCCATGGAACATTTATTGAGGAGGAGGTGAAAGCCCCAAACTGTCAAAAGTTTCTTTTTTAGGTCACTCACCTTAGGTAACTCCCATTCTGATCGGGAACCATCAGCACTGTAGTAGTATGGTCTACCTTGTTCATCTGCATGTTTTATCCACTGTAGAAAGAAATGTCATGAAAGGAAATGTAATCAGAGTGACAGTTGTAACAGTAAATCTCTAGTACTTGGGATTAAAAGTTAATTTTTAATAAAGCATCATCCGCTTCAGCGGTGTCTAATGCACAACCTCCATAGCTAACCAAGGTTCATTAGCAATGACAGCAACACGGTTTTCAGCTTCCTGAATGGGGTTAACTGATATTTTTTCTTTCTGTAACTCCGCTAAGAGTCCTGCAATATCACACAAGAAATTGTGACAAACAGATCTTTCTGAAGATGGCATACGTCACTCATCAACATTATGGTGCCAGTTTAGGGAGGTACAATCTTTGCATCAAATCTGCGTAAGGTTTTTATCCGTAAAATTACAGAACTACAAGAAGCTCAGCCAGCAACTGCTGGTAACTTAAGAGATAATTGCACTTGTTGAACTAATGTGTTTAAAACAAACATCAACAGGAACATGAGATGCAGTTCCTAAATAAATCATGAAGAAGGTAATTTCTGTAACCTCTATAAATAGCTCCCACAATCAAAGATGCAAAGCTGACAACTGTGACTAGTTAATACAGAAAGGAAAGAACTGTAATGAGCAGAAGTCTACAACATGATCGCACGAAAATATGCAGCAATGCTTACAGCAAGACTCTTGGGTCAAGCAGGTTTCACAAGGCTGCCTTCCAATACACTGTTTGTGATAGGAAACTGTTTTCCATCAATCCCAGTGCAATTTAAAAAAAAGCATATTTGCCAAAACAGAGGTATGTGCTGTACAGGTATTTAGCAGAAATAGATTAAACAGGATAAAATTCCAAAACTCTCATAAAAGTCAATTATTTAAAAAACTTGTTTCAAAAAAACCTTGCATGCATCAGCAAGAGACGATGCTATAATATGGTAAACAATTGTTTCAACAAACACCTTCTAAAGTTGAAAAAATTTGCAACTTCAGTGAAGAATTAGAAAAATAGACAGCTTTACCAATATAAACAGATATTGTCCTAAAAATTCCTCCTATGTAGGATAAATGATATTCCCAGAATCACAGTAAGTTGTCAAAAGCAATTAGATACTTAGAACAGAACATAATTAAACCAACACCGTATCAGCAGATTTAAGAAGTTTGTCTACATCTGAAAGCGACTCTGACAATCTCTAGTAAAGGATGAAACTGGTATTTTCAGTTCAAAACCATCCCAACCAGAAGGCCTATGTAGACAAGAACAGCACTTAAAAGACAGTAAGAAAAACATTTTATTATATGAAGTTCGTTCCTGAAGGGTAACCAAGAGGATGGGGGGTCCAGAATTTAAAACAATTCTACGTGGTATGTTCATTCAATATAATCTAATACCCAACTGGAAATAAGGAAGCTTTCTCTGAATAGTAAAGAACAGAAGAAAAAAATAGTCAGTTCAGTTGCTAAAGTTTTACACATATATAAAAAACAAAATGAGATGTTGCTGAGGTATGCTTTTCGCTTCTAGAAATGGAAATCTGCATTTCTAACAGGGAATTAGTGGAAAAGATTTAGAACACATGACGAGAAGAAGGAAAAAGTACCTTTTCATTAGTATAGTCATTGGTATATAAGGTTTGACCATGTTCATCCAACTCTTCTGACCAACCCTTTGGAGGAGAACCATACTGACTATCTGACTGGCTGTAACAAGAACTGTGGTCGTTTTCTTCTGATGAAAGATGCTACAAGTAGTCAGAAACACACAAGGCAGTTTTGAGAACGAAAGCACTTTTAAAATCTGAAAGATCAAAGATTATTTGACTAGAAAGAATAGTAATAAATTCAGGGAGCTCACACTTTTATATCTTACATGAGATCATAAGAGATGCATTTTTACAGTACAGAAATACTTCATAATTGCTAGGCAATTTAAAACATTTGCAAAACAATTAGTTTGTATTGATGCAATTTTAGTTCTTCAATACCAGATTTCAGCCACTCAAATTTAACTCCATTTTCATGCCAATCTAAATTTTATTCCCACAAATTTACATTATTTAATGAGGAAAAGAGTTAGAGTAATCTGTGTGATCCCAAAAAACTTGTCAGGAAACCAAGTTACCAGGCCTCCCAACATCCCACCTTTCATACCTAAATCCTTTTCTTCCCTTCCCAAATAGCACCTGGAAACTCAATAATCATTAAAAGATAACTTGAAACTCCAGCTGCACCTTCATAAGTCCCAAAACTTTACAGTACTTGTGCAATGCATCCAAAAATATTAGGAATTTCCACTCTCTTCCTTCCAACCCTGATATGTGTGACAACAAGCAATGCAAAAGCAAGGCTTTCTACCAGGCACAGCTAGCTGGGGTGTAAGACTATTTTCATAGAATCATAGAATAGTTTGGGTTGGAAGGCTCATCCAGCCTGGCCTTGAAGACTTCCAGGGATGGGGCATCCACAGCTTCTCGGGGCAACCTGTTCCAGTGCCTCACCACTCTCTCCGTGAAGAACTTCTTCCTGATATCTAATCTAAACCTCCCCACTTTCAATTTAAACCCACTACCCCTTGTCCTGTCACTACAGGCCCTTGTAAAAAGTCCTCTCCCAGCTTCCTTGTAGCCCCTTCAGGTACTGGAAGGCTGCAATAAGGTCTCCCCGGAGCCTTCTCTTCTCCAGGCTGAGCATACAGTCATACAGTCTCCACACTGAATTTTCTCAAGGTATAGTGAATTATGATGTAAGGATCAAGTTTGACGTGTAAAGTAGAAGAAAAATTTTGCACATACACATCAAAATCTCGGTTCCCTCATACACTGTGTTCATCTTGCTAACATGTTGTAGTTATTATTCAAAGCACCCATTCTGGGCATCAAAAAAATCTCCCTGCATTCCTCTCTCACAACAATATCTCTGGGCCGGAGTCTCCTAAGGAACTGAGTGCAGATTTCCCGTCACACCATCATGGATCCTCAGCTTGTAAGTGGTGTAATACTTAAGAGGGAACACAACCTGATATTCAGCAGTTATGATAGTTAAGTATTGACTAAGGTTCAATAACAAAGGATTTGAGGAAAACTATAAAACAGGAAAAAGGCAGAATTTAAATTTAAAACTAGAAAACAAACCCCTCTGACATGTTTAAATCTTACCAAAAAATACCCAGATATCAAAAACTCACCATTTTAAAAAAAGTCAGAGATTTTAGAGGCTGTATGTTTAGTGATATTTACAAATTATTATTGCACAGATTTTTTTATGCTGCCTTTCCAAGTACCTGACCATTGATATGACAAATTCCTACGCTGACATAAGCCAGCTTACCAAGCACCCACACGTCATTTTTTGGGTCATTAAATAAGTAACATGAAAAATGGGTGTCCTCTACAGCCTACAGAATGTGAGCATGTAACCAACCTATGGATCAAACAGTGCCCTCTCTTGCACATGGGGCAACATGAAATTCTGGAGTGCCAGTTTCTAACCACTGTCTTCAGTCCCATTTTTACTCCTGAAGAATTAAGACTGAGGAGTTGATAAGAGTGCTACTGGTCCCATCTGAACTATAATGTATAAGATAAATATGTGTATAAATATAGCTAAGTTTACAGGATGTTTTCGTGGTATTGACATGTTCAACCCAAGTTGTAGACTTCAGGCATTTTTATTATCATTATGAACAGGAATTATGACCAAATAGTATAATCTATTTGTATGTGTCTCTTCCAAGCAACTCCTGATACTGACGAAGCGCTGTACACAAAAAACTAAACAGAAGACTTGAAAATGAAAATTCTCCTAGGAAGACCACTGTTGTTCAGTAAGAATGACTGTTAATGTGTCCATCTGTAAGGCACCAATATAACAGTCTTGATGCTTCAAGGCTTAAGTCATGTCACATACCATCCAATGTAGGAATTTAGCCTCTGCAGGCCTAAACTTAAACAAAATTTGTGAGTTGTTACAAAGTTTGCTGTTAAGCACTCCTTCCTCAAATACCTTAAAGAAACATTACCTCTGATAAAATTTATCTGTAATTTCAAAGTTTTATACACTTTTGTAGAGGCCTTGTCAATAGGACTTCACTGCTTCCCCCGGCCCCATCCAAATAACTGCCATAACCTACTATTTTTTTTTTTGCCATACCTTTTACCAACTTCTTTGACAAATTAGGTACAACATTGTTCCTTCTTAATTATCCAATAAAATTCAATTTCCTAATCACTATGTTCTAACACCAACTATGAGCTATTTCATGTTCCACTACACTTATATTAGAATATATATGCAATAAATGTTTCTAATATATTCTAATATATGTGTAATATATGATCATTCACAGTTCTCATTTTTGGATCACATTGCCATTTTGCTACCTAATACGACACAAGCTCCTCTGAGGACAAATCAGTACAGATACAATTAGCTTTTAAACCTTCCCGCATATGCTCTTTTATTACTAAATTTGAAGGAATTTGAAGGGAATTAGCATAATTCAGACTAATGTGTAAAAGTCAACTTCAGTATAATAAACTAAATCTGATTTTACTAAGTATTAAGACATATATGCTCAAAATCTTCATAATCAGACAAAATTTGGGATGTCCTATATTTTACTGTAGCTTAGGCTCGGATCTCAACTTTTAGTCTAAGTATTTTGGTTTAAGTACTCAGACATCATAAATAAAAAGATGAACATGAACAGTGCAGTGCGAAGTACACTCTCAAATGCAGAACATAACAGAAAGGGGAAGAAAAACAAATAATAAAAACAAGGCAGCTTCAAAATCAACACATGACTGCTGGAAAGTGGATTGACATGACCTTGCAACATACATCTCCCTAGACTCAAACTTTGATAACCCAGTCAGAGAGGACACAAACTACTTCAGGAACTTGTGCTACTGGAAATATAAAAGCTTATGTCTAGTTAAAAATTAATCAAAACATGCATCATCCATTGGTCTTAAAGACTGAAAACTTGATAGATTAATAGTCTGAAGGTCAATCAGTGATACCTCAGGCGTCACAAATAAACAGAACTACTGAGCTGAAATAAGGTATGGGCAATCAAAATAAATTCAGAAAGCTTGATTTAAATTTTTTAAATTTTATATTTTTAGAATTTTTTTATTTAAAATTTTTAAATCAAGCTTTCTGAACATACAACCATGTGCTGAAGTCATGGTGCAGAGGTATGAGTAAGAGTCAAAGGGATCATTTGCAGACAGGGAAGGAGGAAAAAAAAAAATTGTAATCGCTACATGAAAAGAAGGAAGAACAATAGAAAATCAGTTACTACAAGGAGAGTTACTACTCAAAAAAAGCAAATCGCCTTATCCAGACTAAGAGTCTTATACAGCAAAAGGACAACCAGTGAGAAAGTAGTAGACTGTTGTCAGAGATATGAAAGTGACAGCCACAAAAATTTCACCACTCTACCTGTTGCTGCCACTAGCCTGTGGCAAGAAAATTTGGCTGTTTAAATGCTTGCGGATGTCACAGCCACTACAAAGGCATTGCCAAAGGCAATGAAAAAGTCCCTTTTTCCTTTCTCTACTGTTCCTGGCACTAACCACCCAGAGGTAGATTTCTACAACAGGGCCTCCAGCAATCTAAAGTTTTTGAGCAGTCCACAAATAAATTTAACTAAACAATGTAAATAGCTCAGGAGGAAATCCACCAAACTATATTTGAAAAGGGTATATATAAAGTGAAATATGAGGAATATTCCTTGATAGAAGTCGCAGGGGTTTTTATTTCAGCCAGGAAACTGATTAACCCAAGTACTGTTTGAACACAAGAGCATGATTTTTAAGCATATTTAAACAATATTCTCCATCTTCCAACTATTCCTTTGTTTTACCTGAACCACTGCAGTTCAGATGAACACACACCGTTGTCTGACTCTCCCTAGCAACCGACTGCACACAATATATCTGCACCTCAAATATTACCCCAAATCATCTTTTGATGTAAATAATTTCTTGGTAAGCTTCAACTCTCGGAAGCAAGATCTGCAGAAAATCTTTGCCAAAAGGCTTTGCAAAAGCAAGAAGTTTGCATAATGAAAAAAATCTGTTGATGCTTCTACAGAATATGTTTATAGGCTGAATGTAATCTCATCAAAAGCTCCTATAGTCAATTGCCAAAAGCTGGGGGTGGATTTCCTCCCTGCCCCCCATCAGCATTTGCTACCTTTGAACCTAGACACTTGGCCAGGTAGAGCTTCTAGGAGGTAATTTTAATGTTCTCACCTTTAGATCTCTAGGATACCATGCACAGAATGAAGAAAAGTATTTCCTCAAAGTTAACTCACTTCTGTAACAACTTCTTTCTCCTAGTTTGTTCTACAGCTATCCAAGACTCCACATAGAAATCACTGACACATATGTAAAATCACTTAAGCAAATGGTTAAAGCTGCAACAAGTCATCCAGCTAAACTTGCTTTTTATATTTACTGTGATTATTCCACCCCTAAGAATTAATGAATTAAATAAAATTTGAGTTTGAAGTCACAAATGCTCCTTTGTAAAAAAAAAAAAAAAAAAAGAAGAACATTTTAAAAGCATCATAGACTATATAGTTATTAATAGTATGTATGAATCTAAGTATGGAAATAAAAATCAATGTACTTCAATGTGATGGAATCTTCAATTATGTCAGTATTTTTCATGCAAGTCGAAGGTGTTGTGGAACTCTGTTAAGTCTGGTTTTGATGTCAGAACTCTGGAGTTCTTTATATCCCTCTTAATTCCATTCTACAAAAATAGTTTCCTCTGTAAAAGGAAATTTTAATAATATTTCAATATTTAAATTTACTACCGCAGCATTAACCAAGCAGTAGCAAACACCTGTATACCCCCTGCGTTTGTTTTACCATGTATTTAACGGATAGTTAAAAATAATTCTCCTTGCCTTTTTGAACATATCCCTAAAAATCCTGCTTCTAGAAGCACTGTCACATTCACCCTCCCTCCCTATCTCCCTCAAAAACGTGCCAAACGTACTGAGAAAGAGAACGCATCCATGTCAGAGAAGTTACGATGGTCATCTTACTCTAGTGTCATTTATGATCCTATTAGTTTCAAAATATCTTCGTTTTCCTTTAGCTTTAAAAGAAAATATGCAACATCTGAGGGACTGTAAAGCCTTTTTATAACTTACTCCTCTCACACACAGTTCAGGTACACATTCTTGTACACGAAAGCAATCGAGGAGCTAAACTGTTTACCACTTCATAAGACACATGATCAAAAAGACAAAGGAAGCACTCCGTGACAGCTGGAAACTCAGAATACCAAATTCTATAGCAAAAGAGCATTCACATGCATTACAATCTCATTGCTTGTGATCTCAGAAGGAGCTACCTCATGATCTGCATGGCTCTGGGAATCCCCTTTATTAATGCTTGCATCTCGGGCCCACCGCGGAGGTTTCCAGGTTCGTTCCTGTGATCCTCTGTTGTAGTAATAACAGCGTCCTGTCGTATCTTTATGGGTTTCCCATTCCCCATTTATTTGGACTGGAGCACTTGTAGGCAGTGGTGGAAGTGCGGACTGAGATATTTTCAGTTCTTGTAAATTAGCATAAACTGGTGAATCAGGCCTCCCTTGGCTTGGTGGAGTAGTTGGCTATTGAGAGAAGAAATGTATTGTTAAAGAGCAAACAAATTTTAGAATGCTCCCTTACAAACCAGAATATATTACAGTAGGAAAACAAACCAACAAACTCCCTTTGTTGTTAAATATCAGAGCACAAAGGACAGCCACAAGATGCTAGGGCCTAAAAACATTAGATTGTTAACTATAAGGTAAATATCACAGGCTATACTTATTTCATACTGAAAGAATTTTTCAGCCTTTCCCAGATGACAGCTGATAATTATGTCTTACAGCGGATTTGAAACACACCGGAATCATCAGCAATATAATTATATGCTTGCCATGTTGAACAACTTCAGCTTTACAGTCCAAGTATTGCTCAGGAACTGTAAGTGATGTGATCGTGTTCAAGACAAAACGTAGCGTTTTGAGATGCCACCTGTTGGGCACAGTTTCCCCTTCACTGCTAATACAGGTGACGGTGAATGTAAGGCAGCACGTTTCTCAGCAAGATCTAAACAGGCAGTTTGGTTGGAAAGCTGAGCACAATGTTGTGACTAAAACTCTGGAAAACACCTGGATGGTTTTACCTGTATGCCTTTCCAAACAGATGTTTATTCAAAAATATTTTAGGCAATAACCACTGAGTGTTCTGATTACCACTCCCCTCACAGAAATTAAGTGGATATTCTTTATCCACCTAATTTTATTCATATACATGCACACAAGTACAATAAATGTCTACAAATAAACCACACACTAATGACCATTTCTCATTAATAGTTTGCTAAAACAAAGGCCAGTAGAAAGCACGTTTACTTTCAAACAGCCACTAAATTGTTTAGAAGAGAAATATATTTTAAAATTGGAACATCTGAAAGCATAACTATATAAAATACACCATGCAGAATATAAGAGCATGTGTTTTTATGAGGGCTTTGATTATGACATCATCAAAGCAGCTTGTTATTAAACCAAAACAGAATAGTTTTCTGGTAATGCACTGCCATGACTGTATTTTAGGGCACCTTATTTAAACATTCTAAAGGAAGGAACAATATAATTTACACCATCTCTTCCCCCTGCTTGGTTTTAATTCAGAAACTTTGCTGGAAGCAAGTCCTTGTGCCTCTCATTGCATCTTTCACAGGAAAAAAAAACATACTGCATTGCATAAGAGTTCTTTTATAATGTGCTTTCAAACATTAGAATCATAAACTGCTAATCTAGGCCACATCTAATCATAAATTATCAGGGTTTGCTCAGGCAAGACAGCATATCGTACCACACATCAGATATAAGCTGATTGCACCACAGCTAGAACCAAATATGGGCAGTATCCACAAGCAAAAGGGGAAACTACTAGAGAGGAACTTAATGAGATTAAAACGGGTATGGACTTGTTTTGTGCACCTTTAAAAGAGAAAACACAGCTTACTAGATATAGCAACAGCAGTATGTTTAAGGCAAATCACCAGAGGAAGGGAAAAAAAAAACACCACAGCACTAGAAAAATCAGAGAGCCAAAACCAATTGGTATCATCCTGTACCTAATTCAAAGGAAAAAGTCTGTTACAAAACTTGATGAACAGTTAAAGACTTTCTACTCCGTGTGTGTGTCCCTTTTTTTTTTTTCTGAGGGAGGTAGAACAGCGCTGGTAGAGTTGATCAAGAGCACCAACAGCACAAAGAACGCTACTATGAACGACGCATCACTCCACTGCCTTCAGGGATGAACCTCCATTCCCGGGATGCTGGGAGAATAACCTTGATCCTCTTCCAGGGCCGCTCCAAGGCCGCCTCACTCAGGAGTGCGGTTTCTGCATTTGTTGCCTCATCGGCCCGCAGAGCTGCATTTCCCACACGAATCGTCCTGCCATTAAACCACCCGGCTTGTCACCCTCAGCAGCAACACACACCTGCCCCAGGGAACGGGCAGGCTCACATGGAGGTTCTGCCGCTGTTTCAAGGACGAGGCAAAACCAGCACCACCAAGCATCCTGGCTGCCGCGGCGGGAGGCCAGTGGCTTGCACAACATGCCCGTCCCCCTAAAATTGCTCTTCCATGCAACGCAATAAAGCAGCTTTGCTGTCTGGCCTGCAGTTGCCAGCTGCTCTTTTGTTTTAATTAAGACCGTGAAGTGCCATTATTAAAAGAACAGTTCTCTGTATTAAATGAATGTGTTTTCCAAATAGAAAGCCTATGACGCAGTACGCTTCATACAGTTTTTAAAGCATTTTCTGAAGCCACAAAAAGGACTATGGCTCAGAGGTTTCACTCTGGAACCTTTGAAAACCTCAGTATTATAAGCAGAACTACTCTAGATGAAACTGCAGGACGTGCATGTGCTAAGCCAACACTGGAAACTGATGGCCAGAGTCCTGCCACATAACGCAGGCAGCATGCTCGTTAAATTTAAAACAGTAACATGATATGAAAACATAATGAGGGGTTTTCTTCTGAACGCTTAGTATGTCCAAATTCAAAATACCATTTCTGGTTTTCAAAGGGAAGCCAGAACTTTCGTCCTGAACAATAAACAAGACAGCTAACTGTCCTGCCAACCAAGCCTCTAGTTACTTGCATTCCAGGTTGCTCTCACTTCTGAAATACCTTTATTCGGAGAGAGTTGCAAGGTTTTTGAAAGACACATGTAAGTTACTGCTTCCAGCAAAGCATTAAAAAAAATGCAAAGCCATCAACATACAGCTTAGCTCATAAGTAAGTCTTTCAGGGATACAACTTATCAGAAACTATTTTAAATAACCATGTAGCATACAATACTTCCTCATACCTTGAGCTGTGCAACAAGGTATGTCGTGTCTACGGTAATGCTCAGTTCAACAATACCCAACTTTATCAAGGCTAATTTTGTGAAACATTTCTCACTCAGTGACGAGAAAAGCAGCTTTAAGAAAGCTCATAATTTCCCGCAATTAAACTTCAGTGTGCTTTCTACATCAGTGTTGGCAGGAAGGTCAATCCCCTCCCTCCAGCCTCGGAAGGGGAGTCCTGCGGAGAGGCAGGTCCCACTGGATGTCCCTGCTTGCAGAGCTCCCGGCCCCTGCACCTCCTTCCAGTTTCCTTTCAGATGACTTGAGTTCAAGACTGTTCTGTATTAGTTTAACAGTATTCCTTTAATTTACCAAACTCATTACTCATTACCAATCTATAAATCTGAATAAAGCATTATATCTAGATCAAAATGGTTTCTGACCACTTTCATGGCTGTTTTCCCAGAACCAGACATACAGTTAAAGGAAACTTAAATGTAATCTAAAAACTACACAGCTCTGTATGCACACAAGAACTTCCAGCTAGAGCTTCACTCTGAGCTTCATTGTGGCACTAACAAGCTCCGAATGCTCATAGCCATGGACTTCAATCCACTGAGACTCCGCGTCTTCTCACTATCAGAATCACAAGAACGCGTCCTTCAACATGCCCACGCACGCACACACAAAATGCCTCGTGCTCAAAAACATTTCAAGATTTATTTGCTGTTTGATATAGATTTCAGACTTTTTCATGTTGTCTTCTCCTACTAAAAGCAGTGAAGGACTCCTGCTAGAAAAGTGATAAAGAAAGAGAAGAAAGCAGAAATACTTCTGTGGTGTTACAACTTGAATGAAAATTGTACAGCCCATTTAGCACTGCAACAACTTTCTGAATATGAGGAGCTCTCCCTGAGCTCAATAATGCTCTGTATCTTAGCACGTTAGAAGTCTGACATATTAAAGTTCAGTCTCCCAGAACAGTCTGCTAGCAGTAAATAGGAGAGTTTTAGGCAGGCAGGACAAAGTTTCCAGGATCAACACACAGCCTTCTTCAAATAGGGACTGTACACACAGCTTTTTCACAACACAGTTTTGAAACTGACAGAGTAAGGAGCAGATACGTGCCTGTAAATAAAACAACCTGTTAATCATTCATGAATGAACAGCCAACATTTCCAACAAAGGCCGCAGATACGCTATCAGGCCTCTGAACACTTGAGCCCAGTGCAATGAGAAATAAATTTACTACACAAGGTACTTTTCATTACCAAAATGCATATCACCTTCTCAGATGGTACCTTAAATTTTGTTACTGTATACAACCAGCTTTTTTCAGATGGAAGTATTTGTTTAAGCATTCAAAATTAAAGCAAACTTCGTAGAAAAAAAAGGTTCAAGTGCCCTCCAATAGGGTAAGACTGCAGTTATGGAAGAAACAAGGACTACAGATCTCTTCCCTAAACACCACCTATAAATGCTTTTGGTTTATTGTCATGCAATGAGAATATACTGCACTGAGGATGCCAACAATTAAAAGACAGAAAACAAAGTTTCCTTTAAACCAGCAATTACCTTTTGTCTTAAATCCAGGACAAAAACTTCTAGAACACAACAATTGCTTAAAGAACGACTGCAATGCTAGCCTGCAAAAACATGACCTACCACACTCGGTTTTCCCTCCTTTACAAATAAATTGCTTTAGTTGTTATGCCTCTGTTTGCGGTTTTTCTGATTTTATGGACTCAAAATGAAAAGCTTCCATTTCAGTAACAGCATTTGGCTTGCTGAAACTAGCAGCTAAAAATAATAATAAAAAAATCTTAAAAATCAAATATTATCTTAATACTCTTTATAAAGTTCCAAGCAATAGATTGTCCATACTCCTGCAAAAGAACAGCACTGCACTGAAGGAAAGCGAGGGAATACCGGCTCTTTGTAGCAGCAAGCCAAAGAAAGGAGAACAGGCCCATCCCACAGCATCCTGAGACAGGGCGCAAAGCATCCCAGTTCCCTCAACAACCGAGCTTCTTGCCAAGGAATTGCCACTGTCCTTTTAGGAAGGCCTGGGACTTCAATACCAGCTTTATTCAACAGGAATGATATAAAAGAAATCTCAAAACTCTACAGTTCCATTTTCACAAAGTGACAGCTTCAACTGGAATAATTAGCTCATCTCCTCCTTCCTCTTTCTGCTCTTGGCTTCTGTTTCTATGAAGATGTTCTGGACCCTACTTACTTTCTAACATATTCAG